AAAAAAAAAAAAAAAAAGATAAGGAACAGACCCAATCTGAATTCACACAACCTGAAACACAAGAAAGTCTTGCCCATCCATCCACCCACCTTCCCAACCACAGTAGTGATGCTGCAGCCCCAGAGAAATACCTTTGATGTGAGCACTGTCCAGCATGGGCACCAAGGTGTTCACCTGCTCCAGAAGCGAAACCTGGGAGAGGATAAACTGCTCCTCTAATGCAAAAATGGACAAGACAGTTGCAGTGAAGCAAATGCTACTCAGGACCTGGCAAGGGAGATGGCTAGGTCCTAGAGTTTTCGGCAGTGACTCCGCCCACTGCCCTCCTCTCTAGATGCACATTTTCATTCTGCCCCCAACTTTCCTGGATGCCTCAGTTCTGACCCATTTGAGCCTAAGGAGCCTCTCAATTACTCCATATCCTACTTTTCTCCAAGGTTTAACTTCAAGGCCTCTTGTTCTAGTCTCCTATCAACAAACTCAGGGAATACCTTCTAGACTATAGGATACAAAGTACTTCAGACTTGGATCCCCACACCCAGAGGTCCCTGGGAAGATCTAAAAAAGGAGATATGTGGCAGACTACACCAGGCAGGTTCTGTTCAGTGGCTTTCAGAGGCATAGACAATTATATGCCAAAGGAGAGCTGGGACAGTAATGGGAGAGTCCAGAGGCCCTGTATGTGCAGGGGGTTTCAATGCACTGAAATCCATAGAGTGGGAAAGGTATTCAAGAGGGAGGACTGTTATGTGCAAATGCTTAGAGGCAGGAATGCTTGTCAATTAGTAGAGGAGAAAGAATTCAATTAGCTGAACTGGAGCAGGGAGAGCACAGGAAACAGTTGGATGGGAGGGTAGACCTGGCAGACTGGAAGGCTTTGAATGGCAGACTATGGAATTAGGGCTTTATCCTAGCAAGGCAGAAGATTCCAAAGTAGGCCAAGTGACATGTTGGAAACATGTTTTTGTGACAGACTGAACCACCCGCAGGAAGGGAAAGATTAGGGTTAAGAGTATGATTTAGGAGACTGTGCAACTGTTCATGTGGCAGTGGATGCATAGTTCCTGAGGCAGTGCCACAGGGAGGCATGGAGAGGCTGGACTCAAGAGCTGGTGCAGTAGAAGATCTGTACTTGGTGCTTAAGCCATGGCAATTGATCAAGAGCCTTTTGGGAACTCTGACAGCCCTCTTAGCAGGAGCTGCCCAACCTTATCCAGTCCTCACTGCTGCATTACACTGATCAGTCTTCTGGGAGACTGATCTCACATTTGGGTTATAAGCTCAGGTCCCTGAAGCAGGAGGGACTCTGTCTCCCCTAGCATGGGCTGTGCCCATGAGGGCAAGGACTTTCTGGTTCACGACCGTATGCTTCCTCACCTAGGATAGAACCTGGATCAGAGTAGATGGTCATTCATTATACATCTTTTGGATGAATAATGAAGCTCAGAAAACCCTAGCTTATAGAGTGGCTGACTGATAGCAGACATTGCTAAGGCAATAGTTCCTGCCTAGAACTCTGAAATTGCAGCGCTTTCTCACATGAAAGAAAGATGTTGAAACTCATGCCAATATTATCTCTTTTCTTTCCTGGCAATGCTCTCTGCCCCTACCCTTTCCTAGAAGCTCATCTGTCTAGTGAGCAAAAGTGAGGAAGGTTCTGAAGGAAAATCCAAGAGGCAGGCTAGTGATAGAACATTGGACTAGCTCCCACTGTGGCTGACACCATGGCCTGCAGCTGGTGCAGAGGTATACTGTACTCAATGTCTACTAGAGGATCTGTAGGATTCTCAACCCAGAACCAGGCCACAATTCCAGAGAGCAGCATCCAGGAGTTGTATCCATCAGAAGACTGGATGGGGAGGCCATCTCTGTGCTTAACCTACCCAATGACCCACATCTTCAGATGCAGGTACACATATAGCCCAGCATTACCTGCTAAGATGAATTGCAGCTTAGAGGCATCAGGTATGGCAATGCGGTCGATGTACTCAGGATCCAGGTACTTGATCATATCTTCAACTAGAAAAGTAGCGAGATGGAAAATGGAATAGGGTTGGGGAGTAGAGCTGTCTTATGAAGGATAGTTGTCAAGTGGTCAGCCTTGAGGAGAGCCTTCAATGAAGAGCTGATACCTAACAGTGCTGCATGAGCAGGGCTCCACCAGGCTCCCTATCCCCACTTCCCTATCTCTCCACTCTCTTCTCTTGAGGTCTCTTCTGACCTCAAGCTTCAGAGCTGAAAACAATTGCCACCAACACTCTGGGCCCTCAGCATTCTCACTGACCTATCCTCACCAAGGGTAGAAGGCCTATTTTCTCCTAGATGCCACCAAGACAAGTCAGAGCTTTGTCTAATTTCTAGTTACTAAGCAGGTTACTAGCTCTGACATAACCAGGCTCTCAGCGTCTAATTTGTTTCCTGCCTCTTAACCTTGTCTGGGAAATCCCATACCCTGTTTACCCTCCTTCACCAAGAGAAGCTTTCAGGCAGAGCACTTTTTTCATAACTAAGGACACTGTCATGGGCTTGAGGTTTATCCACAAGGTAGAAAAGCACACTTCAATTTACCAATTGAATTGGGTGCAGGTAAATGTCCCCATAATCTATCCCCAAAGGGCTATTCCAGTGACCTATTGAACTGAAGGGGCAGGGCCAGGTCCCAGGAAGCCTAGAGATGGGATGTTGGGCAGGTAGGCATATCAGGGAAGCACTTACTCTTTTTGTACAGAATCTTCACCCTTTCCCTCTTGCTGGCAATGTTCCCCAAAGCCACCTGCACCTTGACCAGGCCGTCAGCCACCTGTAAGGGAAATGGCGGTTAACTGCAAGATATACTGCCTGGCTCAAGGCTTGGAAGAGGTAAAGAATCCTTTTTCTCCCAGATTCTCTAGGTTGGCCTCCCTTTTCTAATACTAAAGGAAATGCAGCCCCACCTTCTAGGAATCCTTAAAGTGGAGAGAGAGAGTCATGTACTCCTTGGGGAGATTCAAATATGGGAGAGATAGTGAACTATTTTAGAGTTTATGGACTATATAGTATACACAATATATTTTCTAGTTCCTAAGCCCTGGGTTTGGGCATGAGAAATGCAAGCATCCTCATTCAAGCCTTCATGACCTCTAGACTGGCTGGCCTACCTCTAGCCCTATCCCCTCCAAAATAACTTTAGTGTGGGAGATGTAAGAGTCCAAGACAACTGGGATCCCAATGATGGTGCAATCACTGAATTAGGGAATACAGAGGAGAACTGGGTTAGGGGAGAGGAAGAGTACAGTTAAGAACCTACTAATTGAATTTGAGATGCCTGTTGGATATCCAAGTGGAAAAAAATCCAGTAGATAACTGGACATACAAGTCTTGTTCTCAGAACAGAAATCTGGACCAGAGATATACATTTGAGACATATTGACATGCAAATAGTAATTGACACCATGAAGGTGAGTGAGCCTACCTAAAGTTTAGGGGAAGAATGTAAGGAATCCCAATATTAAAGGGTCAAATGGAGGAGACTAAGGAAGTGACTGCACTCACCCGGTCTTTAGGGCAGAGGGTGAGGAATGCGAGTAGGGAGGCAAATAACTCTGAGAAGCAGCAGTGAGAGGTAGAAGGCAAACCAGGAGGGTGAGCGTCAAAGATCCCAAAGGAAGAGAATGTTTGGGAAGTTAGTTCTGAAATGGGAGCAGTCTGCTACTGGCAACTAATTCCTCCTTTCCTGTACAAACAGACATCATTACCTTGGATGCACTTAGCTCCAGGATATGCCGGACACGTCATCAGAAGGTCTTTAGTAAAAGGTCTTCCCACAGTGGAAATGGGAGGAGAGGGCACTTGAGCTTCGTAATTGTCAAAATTCCGCCACTAGTATAAAGTAGTGCTAGTCCACATCTGAATACCTAGTACCCGTTCCTTCCTAATCCTGGCTCTTTCAGACCTCACCTCTCACCCTTTGGACTTTTCCTTATGCACCTCTGCTCTGTCTCCTCAGGGGTCCCATGGACCTCTTCCTGCACAATTCATTTAGCAATTAATTACGAAGGGCTCCATGACAGGCTTTCCTATCATAGACTTCAGCTCTTATTGAAACTGTCATTAGTCAGCTTCTCGAGTGTGTCAGGTCTCCCCAACTAGCCCGCGAGGGCAAGGGCGGAGTTTTAGTCAGAGTAGGTACTGAGCCCACTCTCAGGCTTAACCAGCCGCAGAGCCCCCTATGAGAATGGACCCCCGAGGGTCCAATCGGCTCTGGAAGGTCCCTGACTTTTGTTATTTCAAAGGCTGGGCTGCGGAGAACAGGACTGGTGCGGTTGCATCCCGAAGGCCGGGACAGTGGACCGCTAGTGCTCTGCTCCAGAAAGGGACTACCGGACCAGACTACTCACCTTCCGCGAGCCGCGCGCCCCGCCCGGCCCATACACCCAGTGCTCCATTTCTTCCACTCGGGCTTGTAACCGCTGCACGTCAGTCAGAGCCGCCATCGCTACTACCGACCCACCTCAGCCGGGAAACAGCCAGAGGGCGGGACGTCCGTCCAAATAAGAAGGCTAGCCAATCCGAGTGCACGAGCGGCCCTTTATGCAGGAAGTGACGCCATGATTCAGGCCTTCAGTGCCGGAAGTTGCTGCTTGGAGCTGTCAAAAGCTGATTACCTTGGCAACGGCTCTGTCCCAGCCCTCACCTGGCTTCCAACGCCTGGTTGTCAAGACAACCTTTGCTTTTCGGGTGCCAAAGATCTTTCCCTACGCTATTCCCTGAGTTTGCACGTGTAAATACACTTACTATTCCAGGACAGGTCCATTCCCATAGATAACATCATTAGGAGGCTCCGTGAGTTACCATAAACTTTTGGAGCCTTCTAAGGTTCAATTGATTAAATGACTTGCCCAAGGCCACCCCGCACGATAGTGACAGATTGGTACTTGAACTCAGGCTGTCTGATTCATGAGATGGAGCTCTTCTATTCTCATGGAACTTTGCTATTCTGCCTTCCCCTCTGAAAGCCCCTGGCCCAAGGCAGCCTATGTACCATGTAATTCCTCCCCACCTCCCATACCCAAACAAGAAAGGAGGCATCAGAGAGGGAGGGATCGCAGCTTTATTGTCTAGGCGTGACCTGAGGGATGTCTCTTTCACAATACCCCAACCCAACCTTTCACTTGGTTCCTGAAGAGAAGCACGGCCTATTCAAAGGGGTAGGGTCCTAGAGATGACATTGATAGAGGGGACACATGAGGAGATGATGGGGGTTACTGGAGGAAGAACTCTTTGGTAAATACTGCTGGAATTGGCCAGGGAGGAAGTGCCCTCCCTTTTCAATGAGGTAGGTGTAATATCAAAAGAAACTTTGGTTTTAAGTCCACATGGCATGGGAGGTGTGGTTCCCTTCCAGGGCTGGGTCCCAGAGTGGGCAGCCTGAAAGAATCAAAGCAGGGGGTCTCCTCCCCTCTCAGCAACGGGGCTGGGTGTTTCAAGTTGGACCTCTCAGGGCAAGGTGCTGGAAGGGGGCCCTGTGGAGGGTGGGGGTGCAGGGTTGGTTGGACCCTGGGAAGCTGGCACAGGCTGGCGGCGGGCAAAGAGGACACCTGGCAAAGGGGTGAGAAGATGGGAGAGGGCAAAAACAAGCAGGAGGGGGTAGGATATGGAAACAGAAGAGGGGAACAGAAGTAAGTGTTCTGGTTGCTAGAACACTACTACACACGTATCCCTGCCACAAACCAATGAGGACAAGTTCCTTCGGTCAGTGAAAGACTCCATTGCTAATGTAGATACCCTCAAACAGGTAAACAAGGAATATTTACACTGATACATAGGCCCATGACAAGGCAGACATCCCCTGGTACCCATGCCAGAGAGCTCATGCCTTGGATCCCATGCCATGTGGACACCCCCTTTAACTCATGCCAGTCTAGCAATCCCCTGAATCCTATGTTACCCATGCAAGTTTAGATATCCCTGAACCTCATGCTAGTAGAGGAAGTCTAAAATCCCCATGCCAGCCCCTGACCCCATGCCACTGTAGACAGCCTGCAGTACCCATACCAGTGTAGACCACCCCGTTGATCTCTAGGGCCATGTTGATACTGCTGATGCCACTGCCTGCCAGATTAAGAGGCCCATCCAGCCGCTCTTCTGTCCAGGAGGGGGCAGGGAATCACATTTTGGAGAATCAAACTTCAGACTTATTGATAGAATTCCCCCCCTTCATTCCTATAGTCAGCCCCCATTCCACTTCAAACCCACCCCTATACTCATACAGTTGTCTATAGAGGAATCTGTCTGCCCCGTCTCTAACGCCTGTCAGATGATGGGTCAATCCTCCCTCAGTGTACAGTCCCAAAGCCCCCTCACAAGAAGCCCCTCCTCACCCCTCAGGGGAACCTTGCCACGGGGCAGGAAGCTGGGGGGCATGCCAGATCGAGGTGGGTCCATGGGCCCCATCAGCACAGCTCTTTTCTCTGGGGGCTCCTCTGGTGCCAACTTCTCCCGTGTTGGTCCCAACGCCAGGCCCACAGGCAGTGCCAGGTGAGGGGCTGGAATTCCATTCTCCTCTAGAAGAACATGTTATTCAGCTCCCCTGGTCAAACCAACCCATCTCTGCATTTGCTTCTCCCCCAGGCCTGGGACCAAAAGAGGTACACTCAAGCTTATGCACCAATCTCTCATTATTTGATCTTCCCAACCACAGCCTCAGCCTGGAAGCACTGAAGCGTTTCTCTAGAGCCCAAAGGACCAATGCACATGTCTAGAGAATTTGGAAGATTGTTTTTAGTTGTTAGTTATTGAATAATTCAGATCGCAAGAGGCACAAACTATATCCAAATAGGAGCACTGGGTGGACAGGTGTGGAACGGAGATGCTGTGATTAAAGGACCTTTTCCTGAACTTCAGCCCCCACACCTCAGTTACCCTACCCCACAGTTCTCATTTGACCCCAAACCTCAGGACCCCTAAACCTGTGACCCCCAAAGCTCAGAGGCAAGTCAGACCTTACTGCTCCCATACCTCAATGCCTCCCAGACCTCAGTCCCCACAGTGTAATTGTTCCCATATCTTAGCGCCCACCTAAACCTCAGAGACCCCTAAACCTCCACCGTTCTCCCATCGCACCTTTCTTAATAGGGCATGGACTCAACTGAGCGCAGGCGTGCGCTGGCAGGCCGGAGGCGGAACCCTGGACCCGGCCAGGGCTGGACGCGGTCGCCGGAGGGGCGGGGCCAGGACCCACTGGTGGACCCTGAGCGCCCCGAGAGGGTAGTCCTGCCAAGCCGAAGAGAGGGGTAGCGGTGTAAGCATGGCGACGGCCCTCGCGCCGATTGCTGTCTATGGCGGCCTGGAGCTCCCCTGGCGAGCTGAGCGCTCGAGTCTCGCACTCGTACGGATACAGGTACTTCATGTACCTAGGGGCGGACAGCGGGCGGTGAGTGTGTGGGAGGCTCGACCCAGTTGGTCAAGTTCCACACCCCGACTCCCGCCGGGACCCTCCCCGCCCCGCCTTAGCCCGACCCCGCGCCCCCTTCCCTTCCTTCCGCTCGCGCCCTGGGCCTCACTGGGTGCGTAGAGTGAAGGCGGCCGAAGTGATGGTGGTGGGTAGGCTGAGGCCGCGCGTGACCTCCCGCCACACTTTGCGGTTAATGACTTCCACCAGGCCGCCCTTGGCAGTCACCAGGCGAAACAGAGCGTATAAGTCCAGCACCTGCTTCGCCATGATGGGCACGCGGTTCACTGGCGTCCCTGGTGGGGAGTGGGCTGCCGTCAGGACACTGAGACTAAGACCCTGCCTGCGGCATCCCCGGGGACTAATACAGGGCGGGAGTCCCGGGGGGCTGGGGCGGCGGGAAAGAGGGAGACTCGGGGGAATAGGATTACAGGCGGAGTCCACAGAGCTCCAGGGCCTCTTTTTTAGCAGGAAGGACAGGAGGCTAGACCAGGAGTGGGCAAAGTTCTGTAAAAGGCCAAATGGCTAAGTGATCTCTGTCACAACTACTCAACACTGTCATTGTAGCCCGAAGGCGGCGATGGAGAATACTTAAAGGAATGGGCGCGGCTGTGTTCCAATAATATACTCTGAAATTCGAATTTCACCAGTCTGGCAATGTTATTTGTCTTTTAATTTTGTCCCCCAACTATTTAAACAAGTAAAAACCATTCTTATATTGCAGGCAGCTCAGTTTGGCGTGCAAACTTTAGTTTGCTGTCCCCTGGGGTAGATCGTAGGAAGGACTTCCGGATAGTGCTGAAGAGCCAGCCACCCCTAAGCAGCAGCCCCCGAGTAGCTGCCCAAGGCTGGGGTATGACTGGCGAGAGAAGAATCAGCTCCCGCCTCGGCCCGCCGACTCCGCAGCCCGCGCCGCCCCCGCCGTCCAGTCCTGACAAAGGGGCCTGTCTGCGCTGAGTGATGGGCCCCAGTTAATTCCTTACCGATCCTGTCCCCTTCCGCCGCGCCTTTGGACCCGAACAATTAGCTGCGGCCTGATTAATGGGGGAAAATTATCGGCCCCACGGGACCCCCTCCCCTGCAGCTGGAGCGGTGGGAGGCAGGGACCGAAGGGAGGCAGAGTTAGTGGGGAGGGGCGGGCAGGCAATGCTGGGATCGGTTCACACTCGCTACCCCAGTGGAGGGGAAGCTTCGAGGAAGGGTCAGAGAGGGGACACTGGAACTAGAATGGGCCTCCCTGGGAAGCAAAAGGACTTAGGGCCCAACTGAGGGTCCCTGGGAAGAAGGGACCCGAAAGGGGTGCTGGGGCTGGAGTGAGGGCGGCGGGGGGGGGGGGCGGCAAGTGGGCCAGCAGCTGCACTAAAGTGGGGGGGCGGGCAGTGCAGCCAGTTAATTAGCGGCTTATCAGGCTGCGCTCTGAGTGAGTTAATTAGCTTTGTAGAGAGAGATAATGAGTCAGTGTTCGGTCCCACGAATCTGGGGAGAAGCTGAAGTGATGGACTGCCGCCCACCCTGATGTCCTCCTGGACCCTTCTTGCCTTCTCCAGCTCTGACATTCCTGGAAACGAATTTCTCTCCTCCTCCACAAGCTCAACTCATATAGTCCCAGCCCACCCCTTGGGAAGTCCTTCCTTCAGTCTAATCCTAGTCCTTCCTGCTGGACAGCACACGAGGTGTCCCCTGCCTGAATCAAGGGAAAACAGGAAAGACATGGCTGGAGGAAGGACCCTGGACAGAGAACCAAGGCATTCTCAGCTCTCCAGTTCTGGCTCCCACCCCAGGCCAGCCTCCCATCAGTTCATCCTCCCACCCTCCCAATTGATCCCACACTCATTAACCTGCCAGTGGGCTGGCCACTAATTAATCCTGGGTGGAGGAGGGGGGCAGGGTCAGAGGTTAAAGACGCTATTGAGGGCAAAGGACAGGTGCTGCCAAGCTCAGGCCTCTGCAGGGAGAACCCAACTGGGTTTCCTCAAACCTGGTAAGGGGGCAATTCCAGGGCCCTTCCCCTACGTCATGCCACTCACCCCTCTTTTGCATGAAGCTAAACAGGTCATCCAGAAATTCCTTCCTCTTGGGGTCTGCATCGAGCTCATACAGCTGGGGAAGGATTGGGGTCATTCTACAGCTCTGTTGATCCCCGCTCCCTCCCTGGACCCCAATTCAGGTTGTACCCTGAACAAGGGCCCCTAGCTGAAGAAGTCAGTAGGCTCTCAATGTGGACTCCCTGGCATTAGCATTAGGCTCTCTTCCCACTAAGGGCAGGTAGAGGTGCCTTTTTCTAATACATGCAGAGACTGGCACTGGTAGCGGTGCCCTGGGCAGTTCAAACCACCCATCTTGGGAGTAAGGGAAGAGAGGAACAGGATGGAGCTTGGAGGCTCAGCCTGCCCTCTGGGGCTCAGTTTTCCCCCACCCTCATGGGACATTTAGAGCCCCAGGAAGGAAGCTAGGCTGGGGTTGCATTCCGTACTGAGGAGATAAACATATATCTGATGCTCTGATTCATTCATTTAAGAACTTCATGCTGTTCACATCCCTGTATGCCAGGGCTGGGGGTGGGTGGAGGGCAGAGATTCTTCTAACACACCCCTCATGCAGGGTGATGCTCAGAAGCTCCTAGGTTGACACCCAGGGCCCCTCAGCTCATCTTCTGGTCTGTCACCTTTCAGAGGCAGTTACCCTGCCTACTACAGAAGCTGCTATAGAGGCAATGGCCCTGTACCACCTAGGACCTGTGGGGTCAGAGTTTGAAGGATCCACAGGCCATCTCAACTCCTCCCAGTCATCTGGAGCCCCACCTCCTGTGTCAGCTCCCAAATACCAGCCAAGGGAACCATCCCTAGAGTCATTGACCCAGAGTAACAGTCCTTGAGTAACACCTATAGATAATATTCCATCACTCCATCCCCATAAGAATCCTCAGAGTAAAAAACAAACAAAATACCCATGAGTAATAAACCCCAGATCTGCCTTTAGAGCCACATTCCCACAAAAACTGAGCCCTAAGTCTTAGATGGATACTCACATATAATACATACACTCTTCAAGTAGTAACTCCTAGAATTATACCTATGAGAAACAGTGTCTAGTGCCCTATCTCCAGAACAGAGCCCTGAGTAAAACTCTCAGTTTTACGCTAATGCCAGAGTACTAGTCACAGGTTAATGCTTTTGGAATATACTCAGACCAACAGCCTGCAAGTTAACATCACCAGAATAGCACACCTGGGGTCATAGCCCTGTGTAATACCTTCATAGCGACAGCCTTGAGTAGTGTCCTTAGAATGACACCCAGAGGGTTCTCCAGGGAGAAAGAACCTCAGATTAAGGCCCTGTGAGTGAAGTCTTGTCATTCTGAGTTGCAGAGGAGCCCTTTAGTCGCACTGCAGCTAAGTGACCATCACGGGCTGGGAACTATTGTCCATGGAACTCAGGCCCAGAAGGTTTGCATGTGGCCGGGGTAAGGGGGATGTAACAGGAAAGAGAGGAGGGGTGTGTCAGCCTGCCAACGCAGTGACAACCTCCATTCTATTTCCAAAGACAGAGGAAGCAACTGAGAACCCCCACTGGTCACTGGAATATGACCTTGTGACTTGATGTGTGAGAAGATGGGTAGGGTGATGCTAGCATTGGAATCACCAGCCCCCAGACTGCCCTCCCTCAAAGGTTCCTACACCTGGCTGGGCATGGTGGCTTATGCCTGTAATCTCAGCACTTTGGGAAGCTGAGGTGGGAGGATCACTTGAGCTCAGGAGTTCAAGACCAGCCTGGGCAACACAAGGAGACCCTGTCTTTATAAAAGAAAATTTTAAAATTTAGCCAGGCATCTGTCTTTCCCTTCCTGTCACTATCCTCCAGTTTTCCCTCTGTCTTTCTCTAGGTCTCTGTGTCTCTGTGTCTCTTTTCATCTTGCAGAGGGTGGTGCTGTGGGTGGGTGGGCTGCTAATCACCTGGCTCTGCTTTTGCCAGAAGAGGGAGATAGGGGAGAGGGCTTGACATCAAGGGGGTCGGTCCTACCTGCTTGAATTGTTCCTCGTAGGTCCACTCGTGAGGATAGAGTCCAGGGGGCTGGCTAGAAGGTGAGCTGGGCCCCTGGGCCCCTGGACGGCTCTCCTCAGCTGCCTCCTCCTCTGCTCCGGCTTCCTCTCCCTCCTCATCTTCTTCCACATCTTCCTCTTCCTCAGCCCCAGCCTCCCCCAAGGCCCCCTCAGGGGCCTGTAGGGTCCGATGGTCAGGCAGGGGAGGTCGGGGTGGCAGCAGTGGGCGTGGAGGTGCCAATGGCCCCACCCCCTGGGCCAGTCGAGCTGCCTGCTGCCTCTGCAGGGCTTCCATGACAGCTTCCAGGCGCAGTCCCCCAGCTGAGGGGGGCCCTGGTACCAGGCGGGACCCCGAGGAAAGGGCCGCCTGTGTGGGAGGGAATTATGGATGCTGGGCCCTGCTGGCCCTATAGTCCCCAACACAAGGGGAGGTGGTCATAGATTCAGGGAAGTGCAGGGGTCACAAGGAAAGAGGCAGAAATATAGCTTTCCTAGAGGTGAACAGAAATAGGACCAGACACAGGGAATCAGAAATGGCCATTGACTGAGGACTGGGAGACTGAGCAGATCAGAGAGGGTGACAGGGACCAAGAGATATCAGAAATGTCGGAGGGAGGGAGAGAGAAAGAAAAGAAAGGGAGGTGTCTGACAGAGACAATGACAGGGATATGTGGAAATAGAGATGGAAAAAGGGTGACAAGGAGAGACAGAAGTGGGGTAACACAGAGACTTGAGAGGGACCAAGATGGAGAGAGGCAGAGATATCAGGCAGAGACAGGGTAGAGAGACAGAGGTGGAGAGAGATTGGATACTGGGCAGAGAGACAGGGAGGGTAAGAGAGATAGAGGAGCGAGAGATAAATATAAAAGATCTAAGTGACAGGTAGCTCAGAGACGGACAGAGACAGAGAGACAGAGGCGGAGATAGACAAATAGTGAGACAGGGGTTGAGAGATAGGGAAAGAGCAAGATAGCAGGAAACAGAAGAGATTAGAAAGAGACAGTGAAATAGAGAGGGACCGACAGAGACAGGGACGGGAAAAACAGCCGGAGAGAGGGGCAGAGGACAGGGAGCTAGGAGTCGCGAGAATGGAGGGCGGTGGGGACGGGCACCGGACCGGACGGGCAGGAGGCTGCTGAGCCGCGAAGCCCGGCTTCCTCGCTCCGGGCGCCCCGCCGCCGCACTCACCTGCCTGGCGTGGCCCGCTGTCCCTGGTGTCTCCACGGCGCTGCCTTTGCTCCGCCCGCCTCCTGGGCGGCCCTGGCCTCGGCTGGGTCCCCGCGGTGCGCTCCCACAGCCCTGCGCTCCTCTGGCAGCTGTGCGCTCACTCGCCGCGCTGCTTGCGGCGACCGCGGGGGCGGGACCCGACGGGGGCGGGACCCGTCAGGGACAGGGCGGGCGGGGCGCTTGGGGAGAGGTCCCTGTGGGCTCCGCCGCTCTCAGCCCCCCAACAGGTGTCTCCCACCTTCCTCCAGCCAGCTTCGGGGGGCAGGGGGCGCTGGAGAGCTGCGGGGGAGTCGTGAGAGAGTGAGGGCTCCACCGGCGCCGGACTGGGGACCAGAGCCCCGCCCAGTCTCATAAGTCGTGCCTCCGACACCCACACTCAGCACTGGGCTTCCACACACAAACAGCCGGGTCCACACACCAACACACCTTGTCACAAGTTCAGGCACACAGCTGCCCAGTCTCACACGTTCACTGACACGGTCACCACAGTGTCAATGGCCCGGGCAGGCTGCGATCAGGAGGGGAAACCCTCTGCAGGATGCTGGGGTGAGTGTGGAGGGTCTGGTCAGAATAGAAGCTTCTCCCCTTTCGGTGACCAGTCCTGCCCTGCCCACGCGCTGTCCCCAACTGCAGGCATGCTGCAGTTTGCACACATGTGTGCACATGGTGGTGACCCACGCCTATGGACTCACACACACTCAAGAGGTCTTTAAGCTGACTGCACACCCGCAGCAGGGTACACACATCCACAGCATGCAGGTACACAGCCATACACAGTTTTTCTCTTTTGACGTTCTATTATGGAAATTTTCTTTTTCTTTCTTTCTTTCTTTTTTTTTTTGAGACGGAGTTTCGCTCTTGTTGCCCAGGCTGGAGTGCAGTGGCGCGATCTCAGCTCACCGCAACCTCTGCCTCCTGGGTTCAGGCAATTCTCCTGCCTCAGGATTACAGGCATGTGCCACCATGCCCAGCTGATTTTTTGTATTTTTAGTAGAGACGGGGTTTCACTATGTTGACCAGGATGGTCTCCATCTCTTGACCTCGTGATCCACCCGCCTGTGCCTTCCAAAGTGCTGGGATTACAGGCGTGAGCCACTTTGCCCGGCCGTTTCTTTCTTTCTTTCTTCCTTTTTTTTTTGACAGAGTCTTACTCTGTCACCCAGGCTGGAGTGCAGTGGTGTGATCTGGGCTCACTGCAACCTTGGCCTCCCAGGTTCAAATGATTCTCCTGCCTCAGCCTCAGGAATAGCTGGGATTAGCTGGGATTACAGGCACCCACTAGCAGGCCAGGCTAATTTTTCTCTTTTTAGTAGAGACAGGGTTTCACCGTTTGGCCAGGCTATCTCAGACTCCTGGCCTCAAGTGATCCACCCACCTTGGCCACCCAAAGTGCTGGGATTACAGGAGTGAGCCACCACACCCAGCCTCTAGTATGAAAATTTTCAAACATAGGTGAATGAATAGTATAATGAAACAATAGTTCTCATCATAGGCTTGTTTCAACAGTGACTGGCACTTCACCCATCTTCACACACATTCTCCACCCATGTATACCTGACTCCCACATCTGTATCTCCAGACCCCCTCAGCCCACTGCTTTGGACCCTCCCCCTAACTATTCCAAGATGCTGAAATGCTGTTCCTTATTTGGGGGTCCTGAGTAGCAGGCCTCTTAGAATTTCTGCTCTGAGCAGCCTGGACCCCACTCCCCTTGGGCATCCTCATACTTCCTGTTTCTTCCTGTGCCCAAGCGGACCACCTACCAAATGTGAGGGCCACCATGAGGTGATGTTAAGTGTGTAAGTGAACAGCAGGTGTCTGTAGGGGTGACATCTGACATAGGTATGAAACTGTGGCACCAGAGACTGTCTCCCGACCTCACACCCAGAGGGCAGGAATCCAGACACGACCTTTTCCTCCTTCCTCCTCCTTTTTACTCTCCCAATCAGTCCACTTCTCTCAACCTCAGCTTGTTCTGGCTCAGACCACCAGCTCTTCTGACCAGGATCCCATGGTAAGTGCCTCCTCCCTGCTCTTCCTGCCTCCAGTCGACACCCCTTCTGCACCCTCTGTGCCCAGCTGTTACCGCAGCACTAAGTCCTGGTTCTCTACAGCCCGTTCCTGGCCACGCTGAGGCTCAGCCCCATTCATATCTTCAGCTCCCCCAGTGTCCTCCACCTCAGATTTCAGACCTCTGGGCCCGTCAGAACCCTCAGCCTCCAGAAGCTCCAGTGATCCAATCACCATCAGTACTGATGCCTCCTCCCCCATAGCTTCGTTTGGTGTGATTATCCTGGGGCAAAGCCAAGCCTCTGCCTCTGTCACCCCCTCTCTGATGCTGGGAGGGGAGAATCTGAATGCGCCAGGCAGACAGACATGCCCTGAAAGTGTAGTGGAAGTCTGGAGAGCAGAGGATAGTGATCCCAGGACCCCTGCACTCTGCCTGCTCCTTTTCTCCCCACCACAGCTTCTCCTGGCTGCTCAGAGGTGCCTGGACAAAGGTAGGCGGTGAGAGTGTCTTCCTGGAAAGGTAGGAAGTGGCTTGGGGAAATTCCAATTCTGAGTGTTTGGAGATCACTTTGTGGGGTTTGGGTTGAGGGGCAACGAGCTGGGCAGTCACTCCCCAGTCCCCCAGATCAATCAAGCAAAGTTAATCCACTTTTGGGGTCTGGGTCAGGAGGGCTACAACTGGGAAGGGCTGAGGGGAAGGAATACTCCTGACTGGGACCTGGTTTATCTCTCTTCATCTGTGAGAAGAAAAGGCTGCCTCTCACACCCACAGTCCAGTCCTAAGCCTCACAGAGACAGAGACAGACCTAGACCTTCAGAGACCCATGCTTCATTCATCCAACACATTTATTATCTATTTTTTTTGCCAGGCACTGGTGGACACAGGAGCCAATAAAACAAACTCCCTATTATAATGGTATAATTCTAAGTGGGGGCAATATACAGTGTGTCCGATGGTGACAAGTACCATGAAGAAAAATGTAGCTGGGTTGGGGGGAACAGAAAGGGAAGTATTAGTTACCTACTGCTGTGTGACAAATCACTCCATAATTTAGCAGCTTAAAAAAACAAATATTTATTTTCTCACAATTCTGTAGGTCTGGATGGTTCTGAACTCATTTTCTCTTATGGTGTTGTAGTGAAAATGTTGGCCAGGGCTGCAGTCATCTGAAGGCTTGACTGGGACTGGATGATCTACTTCCAAGATGGCTCACTTGCATGGCTATTGGCAGGGGGCCTGTTTCCCTGCAATGTTGGCCTCTCTATAGGATTGCTTGTCTGTCCTCCCAATATGGCAGTTGGTTTCCCCAAGAATGATCCAAGAAAGAAAGACTCTTTAGGTAGCAATGCTTTTTATGGCCTAGTCCTAGAAGTCACACATTGTCGTTTCTGTAATGTTATTTGTTAAAGTACGTAAGTCTATCCCACTCAAAGGGGAGGGGGAGGAATTTAGGCTTTACCTCTTCAAGGAGAGAGCATCAAAAATTTTTTGATGGCATTTAAAATTACCATGCAAGAGATACTATTCTGTAAGTGTCAAAGAACTCAGTGAGCAGGAATTGAAGGAGGGGAGAAAGACAGCTATGGCTACATGGGTACCTAGGGAAGAGCACTGCAGTCAGAATAGCAGGTGCAAATACCCCGGGGTAGAAGTTTGCTTGATGTGTTGGAAGAAAAGCCAGGAGGCCACTAGGTTGGAATGGGGCGCTGAAGGGGTGAGTGGTTGGAATGTCTGGTCAGAGGAAATGGGCCTTGGAGTAGGCCCTTGTAAGGAGGGAAAGGATAGAATAAGATGGAAAGTCATTGGATATGTCTCAGCAGAGAGTGAAAGTCTGACTGGCTGCTGTGTGGAGAACCCTCCACACAGGATGCATACATGAGGATCAGTTAAGTGGCCATTGGTGTCTTAAACCAGGGTGGGGGCAGTGGAGGTGAGAAGACATGGTTAGAGTCTGGATATATTCTGCAGATAAAAATAGTATTTGATGATGGATTGGATGTGGGATGTGAGAGAATGAGACGTGTCCAAAATGTCTCTGGACAGCTGGATAAATGGAG